GTAGTACTACTGACAATCTTTCATAGCAAGCGTGATGGCTTGTGGTGAATCTGCTTCGGATCCTAACCTGACCCGTGTTTCTGAGATTTGGTTACGGTGCACGGTGCGCCTGCGAGCCCTGCGCACATGGAGAGGGGGCCCTCCTTCAATGCACCTGCAGCCGCAGGCAGGTACGGCTGGATAGCAGTCAGGACAAGTGTGACAACTGCAACACGAAAAACAACGAGCGCGGCATCAAACAACACAACAAGCAATAGCAACAGCACGGCGAGCGCTGCGATCTCCATTGCCACCATGACCTGTCTCTTCGTTTTCCACCATGCTCATCGCAGTTAGCTACCCTGGGCATTGCGCTCAGCCAAAAAAGTCATCCCACCAACATCACAATCATCACTAACATTGCCGTCCTCATCACATTAATGATAAACATGAACTGCAGCGGCGATTGAAGCAGCAGGAGCACAGTAACATCATCATAGTCAGACGTGACACCACCCAGGGCGACTTGTCGCCATCACCAACACCTGAAGACTTGCTCTGCCAAAGCGAGCCCGCAGGCCCGCAGACGCGGGCTCGCCCCGTTCAGCAGTATCGCTCCAAGGGCCAAAAACATCCAAAAACATCCTGTCACCTAAACACAAAAAATGGGCCCCTCCGCTCCACTCTATTCGTTGCACTCGAATGAACATCCGAAACATCTTGAAACGCTCGCCACCTCGAAAGTTGGAGCCTCCCAGCGCATCCTTCTCCTCGCGCAGCTTCAGGCTCAGGCTTTGTTGTAGAAGTGCTGGGGTTTAGGGTTTAGGATGTCTTGGTGTGACAGGATGATCTGGTGCCAGAAACGATATGACGACCAAGCTCTGCCGCTGTCTACACATTTAACTATCGTTGTTCCTGCCACCTCCGATGAGGCTCTTCAGTGCTTCTCGAGCATGGTTTGGATGAGGTGTCGAAACACACGAATGCAGCATTGCTCGCGGCTTAAATCCAGCTCCTGCCGGAACCAATTCATGGCAAAAGCTCGTCTGAGTCGACACATTCGAAACCACAGTGCGCTTCTCAACTGCGCAGTGCGAACGACTGTTAACAGCCTCACCCTACGAATTCGGAAGCTGACAAAGATATATGTCGGGGCAACATGTGCCACATGCACAGAAACAGCTTTGGACTTTGTCAGGATCAGCACAACCTGAGAGAATGAAAGGCTCTGCACCAACACGGCAGAGGCCCGTTCCCGTGCATTCAACGCCAAACCTCCCCCACACAGCCCTGGATAAATCCCTCTAAGACCGTTTCGTCCAACCTTGCCAACATCCTACAAAACCGAAAGTCTCCGTAGAGGGGTCTGCACGTCGGCCTCGAAGGGACATAGGATGGAGAAGGCTGAGCCATGCACCCGTCGGCAATCTGAGCCTCCAGCTGCGTCTTCCTAAATTTTCATTTTCGGAGGCCTTTCGGCGTCGGACTTTGGGTCCTGGAAATGTAGACACAAAAAGCTGTAACAGCAACCATCATGCTGTCTCAGCACACACTGCATGGTTACGTGCACAGCTTTCTAGACTCCATTATGTTGCGGGCTGCTCTGACTTCAGGGTTGCGGTGCGGGTCTCCGCCACCACGACAACAAGCCTCAACAGCACAGCTTCAACACTTCAACCCTGGCCGCAGTGCCGCGACCACAACTAGTGAACCAAACTTTAAGCTTGACAAGACCCCAACAGGGCCCTTAGGCCTAACGTATGGCTTCCAAACCTTCAGGGCCTTAAACCCTGAATGCTTGAGGGTCCTCCTCGTGACGCCAACGCCTACCCAAGCCTTGGGCCCTGAAGCTTACATAAAGCACCTCAAGCCACGTCTTCTGCTGCCGGGTGGCAGTGGCAGGAGAGCCAAGACCGCTCCCGGGCAATAGGCGCCTAGGTAAGCTTGTGGAAAGCGGATAAGTCTGTGGGGTAGGGTTGCTTTTTGAAGGCTCTACAACCGATTTCAGAAAGGTTTCAACAAGGCTTCATAGGGCTGGGTAAGAAAATCTTTGAGTAGAATGGTGAAAGGCCCAAGGGCTTTGAGTCGTCAAGGAACGTCCAAAAGGAACGTCCAAGCGCGAAAGGCTCGCAAGCGTGCAAGGTCCAGAGGTGCAAAGGCTTAGTGTTAAGGCGGGTCAAGCATTTCACTTTTCAGGTTCAGGGCAAAGCACTTCGGGCTTACGCCAGGATACAAGACGCGATGACCCGAAACTTAGAATACGATGACCCGAGCAATACCGATCGTACAGATATCACGATGATCATCGTCTTCCTCGAAGCGCTCGGCCCCCCCGTGGCCGAGGAAGGCGCGAGGAAGCGCACAGCCCCGCAATGGCCTGTGGCTGAGCTACCGGCTCGGGGGTTTCCAGGCGTGCCGTCAGGTGTTCAAGTTTAAGTGTTCCAAGCTTAGGCTTTAGTGAGACTCCAGGGATTCTCAAAGCAAACCTAGCTGTGAAGCTTGTTGAATGTCGGATGTCGGCACATCTCTGCCTCACGCGTTATGTCTCTATTGCATCGGTCTTCTTGCTTTTGTGCCTTAGGTTACCTTCCGGATCAGGAATTCCTGCAGATCCAACAATGCACCTGGATGCCTATCGATGTGGGGACTTCTCCTGGCGCTGGCAGCAAAGCCCACTCGTACCAAGCACCAGGCACGCGCTCGGCAGATGGAAAACTTCCGCCGTAGCTGACATGGCTTGTACATGCTGCACTTCGGTCCAAGAGTCAGAGTTTAGGTTTGGGGGTGTTTGTTTGAAGCCACTTTTGACGGCTTCAGGGCTTGAGATTTCACCTTCAGATTCTCGGTCAATCAGAAGTAAGCCCACAGCTTCCAGTCATTGCAACACTGCCATGGGGGGCTCCATACTTGGGCTAGCGGCTAGCCTATCTCCGTGCTCTTCACATTGCTCATATACTCTCCTACTCTGCCAACATTCACCATAGAACTGTTTTTCTTAGCTACCTCAGCACCGGCTCGGCTCACTTCTTCCTCTGCTGTACTAGACTGGGGTGATGAAAATCAAGGCGAGCAATGTCTTGACAGTGAGCTTCTAGTGTGTGGCTCGTCTTGATGTGCTCCCATCTGCGGGCCCGGGATTTCGAGCACAGTGGTTCTATTACTTTTGTTCCTCACATCTCCACATTCTAACTCTAAGCGCCACCTGATCAAACTCTAACTGAGTGAACGTACACCGCAAAAGCAGCACGGAACAGCAGGAGCAAAAAGAAGCGGCCAACTTCAACCACGCGGAACACATAACAGCAATAGCACCAGCAACCCATAACAGTGCAATGACCTGCCGGCGGTAGCGCAGGGAGGATTTGAACAGAACTGGAAACAACAGCCACTGGCGCAAGAGCATGCTGATCGAGTGCCCGCTACCAATACCGGAAGCAGGAATAAAAAACCTCGCGATACTCTCCCCGACACTCCGAACTTTGCTACTACTTACTACACTCTCAAGACAACAAACACCGCCCAGACGGGATGCACTCTTCTTCGAGAGTGTGGAGCCTTATGTCATCCTGCAACTCAAACCAGTAGCCCGATGTCCTGGACGCATGGATGCCATAGCCTCAAACCGAAGCATTCTCAGCCCTGCATCTCCCGGGTCTGGACATCTAGACGAGCAACGGCAGAACTGCGCCAACAGCAGCAGACATAGGCGCAATGGCAATACATGACAGCAAGGGTGAGAAGCACCGCCAGGACCACCGTTATCACCAAAACCGTCATCATCACAGAATGCTCTTACTACAGGCATCATGACATCACGTTGAAACTGCCTTCCTTCCCACTACGAATTGAAACCGAAGCATCTTTCAAAGGGGTACAGCAGCTCCTGCATGTCACGAGATCGCAACGGCGGATTGGGCTGTGACGCCGCCGACTGAAGAAACGAAACATGCGCTATGTGGATGCTTTACTGTGCTGGCCGTTGATGTCGGTTGCCTGCTAAGACTGCGAGACTGATTTGTGAACAATGTGTGTGGCCTAACCCTGGACCTTCTTATGAGTAGCAATAGTCTGACAGTCTTCTGGCCTTCTTGCATATATAACTTGAGTCTTGGTCCTTTGCTTCTTGGTAGTCTTTCTTTTCAGCTGATCCTGAGGCCTTTGAGTTTCCCCATAATTCCCAATGCTTGTTGTTGCTTTACTTATGCATAACGATTACGAACTTGGCACAGGCCGCTGTATCTGCAAGTGTCTATACTGTCTACACCATTCCTGTCATCGCATTCTTCTTGACAGCATCCTTTACATTCGTGCTGCTTCCATTCCATCGGATTCGGGTCTGCACCTTCCTGTCTTCTTTTCGCTGCATGTCGCCTGTACCGTAGATTTGAAGATGCCAGGCGCACCTTCTCTGTCATCCGAAAGAAAAAGATCTATGGACATTGGAAAAGCAAGCAGATGTCAAGATCGCCAAGCTACAGGTAATCAAGAAAAGGCTTTCGGCTTGCCATAGGTGAATCTGAGAGCCCACCTAGCCAGTTGTTGTTGACACCCACTCGAGTGGAGACATGTCCAGCTGCAGAACATAATGCGTCACGCAAGCGCTTGGCGAAGAAGCGACGCAGGGAACAAATTGGAATGGGAATCAGGCATTAGTCGTGCCTCTGCGCAAGGTCTCAATTGCTACGGGTTCATCCCGAGCAGAAGCCTAAATGGGGTGCCAAACACGCACCAGCCGCTTGACCCATAGCATATGTCATCAGGACTTGGTAGTCTTACGACTTGGAGCCCTTCTTGCCCAATCGACACCTTGCGCATATCGTAGACCTCAGGAGGCCGTAAGTCTACAGCTTACTCGCTCCCGAGGATCTCTTTCTCTGTTTATATAACCCTGCACGTCAAAGAGCTTCGGCCAAAGCCGAACATGAGACATCGTACGGGCTTGAAAAGCATTCAAATACAACCGGCGCCACACTCACAGAGTGACCATGTCCTCTGTGGCTTACACTTGTGGGGGGCACTGCCTAGACTCGCTCTGACCAAATCTCCTCCGAGATGGCTTGAGATGCCTGGCTCAGCTCGTGCAGTGTTCTTTCGGTTCGTTCCATCATGGCCCGGAGCGACTCAATCTCCTCTACGAAGCTTTCCGGGTCCTGTTCCACATCCTCCAGGAAATCTTCAAGGGCCTGTAGATGTTCCACGGACCTTTCCGACAAACCACGCCCGCTGGAAGGTGCCACCGACTGCGTTGCGGGAGCACCCTGGAAACAGAAGGATTCTGATGACTCCAGGGTGGTCAGCGTGCCAGAGTGCTTTAACCTTGAGAGGCTTCGGCTCATGGCGTGCGAGATCCAGGCTGTCGCATGGTCCATTCCGGCGGGCTACCGTGCTGTCAATTCCCTCACTTCCAGTCTTTGAGCCGGCTTCCACAACATGACAAGCTACCAAAAGGGCTGGGCTCTACACTGCTCATTCCGTAGCTTCGAATGCCCATCGAGCCGAACATCAGCGCTTTTTCTCAAGCAGACCGGCCACCGAGGCGCGGCAGAAACGCTGCTTGGCAGGGTTCCTGCCCCGTGGGAAAATGGCACAGTCACTACGTAGCTCCCCATGCCATGACCTGAACGGCCGACGGAAAGAGGAAGGACGACGACTACGGAGCAGAACTTCCCTGAAGCTCCACCTCCCTCGCAGCCGCCCTCGTTCCTCGGTGACAGGATAGGATGAAGAACAGTATGCGGAAAACGGGTTAGGGAGCTGATCAGCCATCGACGCGACTCTTGCCATCACCGAGGTTTCTCGGTCATTGTGTCGCAGCAGTTCTGGCTGTTGTCTTGTCATCATGATCATCCTCATCGTCGTCAACGTGACGGTCATCACCGTCATCACTGTTTTTGTGTGATCATCGCGTCGTCATCGTCATCGTCATCACCATGCTTGTCCTCATCACCAACATCATCATCACCATCATCATCGCCATCATCGCCATCATCAGCAGCAGCAGCAGATGCCACCACCACCGCCACCGCCACCTTCCCCCTCCGCCGGCCCCAACGCCGCCGCAGCCAACCCCACCTCCACCACCGCCACCGCCACCGCCACCGCCACCACCACCACCACCACCACCACCACCACCACTACGACCACCTCATCAGTTATCATGTGTCATCAACGGCTCCTGATCTATCGCTTCTGGTCGTTGCATCATCCCTTACCCATCGCCATCGCCCTCACCTTCCCTCCCCCCAGCACCATCAGGGCCAGCACGACCATATGTGCTTCACATGACAATCTCCGCACTTCGATGTGGAAGGAGGCATCTGCGCTCCCAATCTTTGACAAAGCACGAATACAGGAGCCGAAACTTCAGCAGAGCTGCCGAGGCTTCCTAGGGGCCACCAACTTCTCGCGGGCGCTCGGCCCTCGAACTCGCTGAACTCACCGGCATCATGCAAAGGGGTGCCGGCCTCTGGGCTCAAAAACAGGAAATGTAAGCTTGTGAAGGAACCAGGATTGCAGCGTGCGGTCAGTAAAAAACTGTGCTGGCCTCGCCAACCGGGGCTGGACGGCGTCTCCGAAGATTTCTCGCTGCCAGCAGGAAAGGAAACGGAAGGAGAAGAAGCGGCAGCCACTTGCCGATATTCCAGGGATCCCACTGTGCTTCGTGGCTTCCTTTGGATGTCATCGCATGTGCGTCGCTGCCCCCTTTCGCAGGCACTGACTGCACAGACTGTGTCGAATCTGCATTCCTCCCTCCTTATGTGTCACAATTATGGCCTACAGACAACACGGCCTGTGATGGCCTGTGCACAGCCTGCAACGGATGCACCATGCCCCATCCTCGAAGCCTCTTGACACTGCCGGGTCACTTGTACAAGTCTCCGGGCAGCGGCGGAAGACGAAGAACGGATCGGCAGCAAAGGCTCGATGGCACCCTTCATCACAGCTGGGCGACGACAGGATCTGATCGGCCGCACAGTCCGGAACGCGGTAAAAGTTCACCCACTTCGGACAGTCCCAGCTGGCCACCTGAGGGCAGATACATGGAAGCCTGAAAAGCTGCAAAAGCTTGCTTGTGTGTCTGTATGTACGTATGCGTATGTACAAACAAGACATACAGAATATTTGAGAAAGCTTGTTGGTAGACAAATAGATCGGTAGGTTGATAGATAGGAATCTACCGCACCCGAAATCTGTTGACACTCAGAAGCCTCTGGCCCCACAGCGTGCTCGAACTGCTTCAAGGGCTCGGGAAGGTCCGTTCCGTTATTGTGGCAGGTCGCCGGGCATCGCCGTTGCATGAAGGACCTGTCGCCTGAGGCTTGGAAGGAAGAGGAGGCTTCCAAACAAACCTAAACAAACAGCGGCCTTTATGAAAGGGTCCGAAACAGAATCTGGAGCCGCGCACCTCGAAATGCGCTTCGACACCCCTTGTCGCAGTTCTTTGCCTGCCAGGGTCGACATCACGTATGCTGCTCCCTGGTCCTATCATCCACCCTGGTTTAAGGCTTCGGGGCACAGCTTTCGGCTTTCAGGCTGCAAGGCTTGGGTGCACACGGGGTGCCAGTAGCACAGGGCGCCAAAGGCTCTGGGACCGAAGCGCCTCAAAGCTCAAGATACTGAACTTGAACTCAGAGGGCAATAGGGTTTAGGGTATGTTGGGGCTTGGGGTTGTTAGGCTGCAAGAAACGCACACAAATCCCACAACCCTGTAAACTTCGCGCCTGGCCTTCATCACGGCTTCCCCCGCACAACCCGCGTCGAGCGCATCATCGTAGAGGTTCGTCCACTGCTGGCAGCTCCAGGAAGCGACCTACATGGAGGATGCGAATGACTGGGCTCATCCATTTTTTTAGCTCTGAAAGGAAGGGGACGCTTGACTCTTCTCTGATTGTGCATCTTTCGGGACGTTTCTCAAGAAATCTGGAGAAGATGAAGCTGCAGTGTATGCCTTATAAGGAAATCTGACTCCTTGCATTCTTCCGCCGTAACAAGTCCCACCCCGCAATGGCCACGCGGACCTGAGGTCCCACGATCGCTTCAAACTCCTCCAAGGGTCGAGGCAAGTCCAATCCGTGCTTCCTGGGAGCTTGGTAGGTTTCCGAAATGGCGGGTTCTTGCCTTTGCCGCCCCTACATTGAAGCCACCTGCGTTCTGAAGCTTTGATTTGGGATTGAAGTCGTGATGAGCAAGCAGCCGCTCCAAACACTCCTTGCCAAACCCTCAACCCATCCAAGCGAACAGAAGCTCTCAACCGGGAATGAGACAACCCCGACCCATCTTACAAGTCCACACCTAGCTAGCCTTGATATCCTCAGAACAATCTCAACAGAAGCCCCAGAAGTCAAGAGGAGACTCGGCAGTCGACCACTACACGTCTCAGGGCACCGCCGCGACAGAATCTCCGGATCACCCGTGAAGGCCTCTCCCCGCCGGCTATGGACCACATACAGTGAAAGGGATATGCTGAATGCAAGCAGGCATGATAGTACACTACATAGAGAGGTCGGTGCATTGGTAGATAGATTCAGCTAGACAGACAGACTGATAGATAGATGGACAGGTGGGGAGATGGATACATGGATAGACAGAGACAATAGGTTTGTAGCTAGATAGGTAGACTCGCTAGCTAGCTAGCCAGCCAATCAGCCAGGTAGATAGATAGATGTAGCAACGAACTTACAGAATAAAATAGGACGCAAACTCGCCTGTCTTGTTCCTGCTTTCAAAAGACTTGGTCAGGAGATGGCCCACATGCCGAACACGATTGGGTAGATCACTTCGACAAGACCCGTTCTACTTTCGTCTTTGCAAGGCCTCACAACTAGTCAAGTCCACGGGACCTGCCTTGGGCTGTGCGACTCCACTCACCCCTCCGAGAGACCAGACCAGTGATTTCCCATGGTCAGTACGTAGACGCAGGATATCTATGTGTGCAAATACACTCGGAGTGACATAGTATACGGAACACGGAGTATGTCCTGCTTATCTATCAGGACGGGGCTGGCCATGACATCTTGGATCCTGTCATAGAGATATATGATACATGCACGGGCATGCATGTACAGCAATACGGCAGACCATGCATGCATGGATACAAAAAATAAGAAAAGCATGTGCTTTCTGCAATCAATGATACACGCTCCGTTCCATCTCCATTCCGTCCTCATTCTACCCCCTAGACCCAGTACGAACCAACCCCAGCATCCGCATGTCACACTCACGGGTGACCTGGCGGCAGCCGGGATCCTGGCAGCCGCTGGAGGCAAGGATCAGCTTCCCGCTGCAGCCTTTTTGCGACCGCCGGGGAAGGCTTTGAACAGAAACTCTTGCCGTCGAAATGGTTGGTGAATTGGCAGACTTGAGGACTCGACAGAGATTTTTCGAGCTTCCGGGAAGTAAACGGGCAGATCGTCAGATGCCTATCAGGCCTATCAATCGCCCACCAGGCAACCGTGGAGGCGACCATCACTGAAGTACTGCATCGCCCAAGTTCGGCAGTCCCATCTTGCAACGTCGGGCCCAACGATCTGGATAAACTCCTTCGCTGGCAAGAACGTGCTTCCGGGCCCTGCATGGCCCATGGGGCAAGGGGGCTCCAGTTCATCGAGCCCAAGGCCTCGAAGAGCGATGACTTCTTTGGGGAAAGAAAGCGACAGGACCTGGGACTTCTGGCCTCCAAGCGAGTATCAGTCATTTGACGGTCTTTTTCCTTGAAAAAAAAGCTGCATGCTTGCATTACACACATATACAACGCATGGACATTGCCTGCTTACACTGCCTGTTTTCACTTACACTGCCTGCTTACACTACACACATATCACACATATACAACACACTACATTCCTACTACTTCAATAGCAGCCTAATTACATTCCTACTGGTTTGATACCGGATGGATGGATGGATGGACGGAGGGATGGATGGATGGACGGAGGGATGGATGGGTGTACGGGTGGATGGGAGGTTGGATGGAAGGACGGATAGAAAGATGGAAGGATGGATAAGCGACATACATACATGCGCATGCGAATGCCAGACAGAGACAGATGGATACATGATAGATCGATTGACAGTGTGATGTTTCATGTCGAAAATCCAGAACCCTCCCGAAGCTACAACAACGCTCCGAGGCTCTTCCAAAGGTCGCGCCATGTCTTTGTCCATGCGAGATTGCTTTCCAAACGGCGCACTCCTGTCATCTGGATTCTTCACGCCGGCCACCTGCGAATCAAAAGGAAAGCCGCTAGACCTTTGCAGCCCAAGCTCCAACGCCAGGCCTTCGCAACGGATGCCCGCATCGTCAAGAGCACCTCGGGATCAAAGAGCTCCGAGCCGTGGCTGCGCCCCTTCACCTGCACAAACGTTTGTG